TGACGAATGTGCGTGTATTGGTGAGCGACAATGGGTCTCTTGAATACTAATAACGAGCATAAACGCGGGTTTCTATTCATGTATATTGTCGAGGCTTCACAGTTTACGGACACGAGAACTAGGTCGCGAAAGAAATCGTTAGCAATGCGCTAGAGCCAGAGCCGTTACACGCACCATTATCTCCCCCGCGTCTGCATAAGACGGCCCCAATCCCCCTCCACCACGCCACCCCGCCGTTTTTGCGCCATATGCAGGAGTTGGAGACGACTGTGGTCGTCAAAATGGTACATTTAGTCCAAACGGGCGGCACGAAGAAAAGTGGGCCACATACTCCTTCGCGGCACGCGGTTGTCGCCGTCTGGAGGCTTGCGCAGACCCTGCTGGGGGCCGAGTTGTCGATTACGCTGCGCCCGGGCGGGTAGCGGTCGATGGGCGGTGGGTGGTGGTGGAGCGGAAAGAAGATCGGGAGATCACATGCTTCGGCCCGACATTCCTTCCTTCCCTTCCACGACGACGACGACTACCGACCGCGCCACTGTCTCCCTCTTCCCCACTCCACCTCGAATCCGCCTCGCGCCCCGCCTGCCGCCCGCGCCCCGCCCGCGCCCTGCTCGCTGCCGCCAATGAAGACAGACCTTTCGAAGCGTCGCTGGTCGGTGTCGCTGACCGTGCCACCGGTCTACAGAGTCTGGACAACTTACGGCGCTTCTCCGCAGTACGAGGGGCGCGGAAAGAGATCTTCGGCTGGTGGGCGGAAGATGGCGGTATGCGGGACCAAGAGTGTGAAGCCAGCCTGCACTAGTACCCCGCCTTTGCTGACGCGTTTTCGCAGCGGACTCTTCAAGGTAGACACTTGCGACAAGCGGGCGATGTAGAAGCCTTATTGTGGGCTGCCAAGGGCAGGCTCTATCTAGATGCAGGTGCGTGGCTGACACCTGTGTCCAGGCCCATTTTGACTTCTCTGGTCCCAGGCTCATCGCCAATGCCGCATCCGACTGGTGCTGTCGTCACAAGCGATTTTTGCAAGCGCGCTCGGTGTGTTGCGCTGTGTGTCTCATATGCACTCGTCTGCTTACTCGGTTATAAGTGCTTTACTTTTCGCGGGCCCAAGGCAGCGGCGACAAACGCGGACTTCGAACAAACAGGACTGTTATCTGGTCCCCGCGCCAGTCGACCACGGGCATATCATCTCCATGGTACACCAAGGCTGCGCTACCTATGCCGACCTCGAGCTGGCTAGACGTCTGGCTCGGTCATCTCAACGCACGAATTAGCATGCCGCTCACCAAGCATTACTTCCTCCTCTCTCTCCCCCTTGACTCCCCCTCCGCTCTCTGGAACGTCTCCTGCGCCATCCACCGAGTCCACGACCTCTGTTCCAAGAGGGAAGGTCACGTGCCGCTCGTCGGGAGCTTTCGAAATGTCTTGGACGACGCGCTATCCGTCGCTCCGGCGAGAGGGGCGAGAGTGTCTTCCACTGAAATCCATGATGGCCTTCTTCTCCATGCTTTCGGCTGCGGCCTCTATGGCGAAAGGGCTTTGTTGGGACCACCGGAAGACGGAAGTGGTGCAATACTTAGTATCGCCGAGGATGTCTGCAGCCTCTTTGAAGAGCAACTGCTTTCGATACTAGCTGTTAACATCATTGAGCTTCGCTTGAGCCAAGATGTGGGTGTTAGGTTGTGCACCCCGATTTTTTCTGACGCGGAATTGGCGGTAGCCCGCGTAACTCTAACTCTCGCAGGGCAACACCCAGCACGTCACAGTGGAATGTTTTCATGACCCTTTCATCACGGTCCCCGGAGGTATGTGGTATTCTCTCCGCCAGTCGGCGATGTTCTCACCAATAATATTGCTTCAGACTTTCTCCATAGCCGTATTACTTACGTTCTTATCCGGCAGGCTTGCTTATATCGTTGTTGCGGCGACAAGCCTGAGGTTATCCCCTTGCACCAATCCAAGAGTTGCGAATTCGAGAAGTGTAACAACCCTCCCTCCGGCGCCAAGTCCACGTTGATCAACGTGTATTCTGAATAGTATAGTCCCTGGTACGTGACTTCGGCGGCATCTTGCTCTTCTCAAACACTGAAGCGTTATCTCAGTCATATATAGATGTAGTCTTTATCGATGAATGTCCTGATTACCCAACTATGTGCGGGCACTCAATGAATACCGATCTCCAGATCCTCGGCATCCTCTAAGAACCCGAGCAGGGGCTTGATATCTTCTTCCTTCAAAGACCGAACCTTCATGTCAGCAAACACATCGCCCAAGGCTGCCCACATAGATTCGTCTGCGCAGCGCAATGGCACCACAAAGTACAGTGGCGCCAGCTCATGTGTTGGAACCTCTACGACATGCAGGTGGAACCGTCCGCGCCATAACCGTGCACGCTCAACTAACAGCCTCCAACCAGTTAGCTGGAGCTGTAGAAGTGGCAGTGCTTGTGGCGCCGCTTCGTTCTCCCCACCAGCCTGGCCGGGCCACTACAGATAGCATCTGTTCGAAGTTTTCCGGCGTTATAACCGTGATCTTTATGGGGAAAGTGTTATAATTGAAGAACGTCACCATGGGCGCTGCGTCCGCCCATGTGCCACAAGCTGGATCAGCGGCGAGGAGGGCCAGTTGTTGCGCATAGACGTGAATTAGGTTGGCTTCGTAGTCGTCGTGCATGACTGCTCGAAGGAAACCCCTCGCGTCGAAGTGGTGGAATTGGTTTCTCGACAACTCCGCTGCGCAGATGTTGATGTTAGTTCGAAGACTCAATTTAAGCATGCCAATTGGGGACGGACTCAAGAGCAAAGTTCCAAAAGTTTCACAGCCTGTTCGGTGGCCACCGTTGCGCCAGTCGGCTTTTTGGCATGCTTTTGAACAGTAGTATATTGCCCTACATCCGGAACACCTCTTCGTTTCGTTGCGGGAGAAGATTTCTTCGCACTAGACCAAGCTCTGAAGTCAGCTCCGAGTTCGAGGCATCACTTGAATGCAAACACTTGAAGAATTTGTAGAGAACCCACGCACATTATCACACGCCTTCAGCCTGAGTTCCTTGTCTTCTTCCCTTACATATGCGTCAAGTACTAGTATATCTAAAGCTGTTTGTGCCCGGTGGTCAAAGTCCAGCCAAGCATCGTATATGGCGCAGTTCTTGAAAGCTGGAACGTTCACTAAATCAGCAACATTTTCTAGGTGTGGCTCTAGGTCCAGGATGATGCGGAAGTCCATGAACTGCATGGGAATCCAACGTGTTAAGAGCCGCCTGATGCTTTGTGCAACCGTCTGGTGGTTTAAGTAAGGAGAAGATGCGGCGCGCACAATCATGCGGAGAATGCCAGCATCGAGAAGTTCCCAGTACTAGTAGAAGTGTTGCCCGTAGGTGTGAGGCCGTATGAAGCGCTCCAATAGTACGAGGCCTTGAGATATGCTGTTTCCGAGCTCAGGCACGAAGGCCGCCCGACTGGAAGTATTGTCGAGAAGAGTCGAAAGAGCCTGAACAACAGACACGACACCTTTTTCACCCTGATACAAGATGCCAAAAGGACCTAGAGATGTGTCAACCAAGTCTGGCGCGGGCGGCTCTGGAAGCAGGTTGAGATCGAGGTCCGTGATGAATTCGATCATACACCGTATGGCGGTGATGAGTGATTGCGACCCGCTAGCGTCCGCTGACTCTGTTCGCGCCGCAATTGACGTCAAGAGGCTAATGGTTAAATTTACGAAACCCTCGAGACAGTCGATGTCAGGCTCTCGGAGTCTGAGTCGGTTGCGTTGATCGTCGCAGTTATATCGTCAGTGTCGGCCAGTCCTTGGTCCTTCATTTCTCGTAGGAAGAAAGCGATATGATCTTCCATGCGCTGGCGCCGAGTCACGTCCGCCATTTGCGGGAGGTAGTCTCTCCAGGCGAGTACGAAGAGCTCACGGAAGCCAGGTGTATTGGTCGGCTGGGCCACCCTTCCCATCGTTGCTCTGGAACAAGGCCGAAAACGCGAGGAAGTCGGGCGTACAGCTCAGGTGTGGGCTCGAGCTCCTGGATATAGTGGAGGCTGTCCCAATGATCATCGAAGAAGTCAAGCCATTTAAAGCAACGCGGCCAGACTAGCGGCCCAATAGCATGCGGTGCGCGGTCCGTTTGCAGCATAATAACGAGACAGTCGAATGTGCGTTTCAATTGTGCCTGCAAGGATAAAGGGAGGCGTCGAGCGGACATCTCCTCAGGATCTGGCAGCAGCTCGATATCCAGGACACGATAGCAGATTGCCAGGTATGCCCGCTTTTGTGCAGCAGTCGCCTCATTGTGGAAGAAATCGATGAGACGCTGCCATGACTCTTCAGGAAGTGTGTCTCCGCGGCAGGCAGCAGTAGCTAGTAGCTGTTGAAGAGTTTAGAAGAGGCGGATAAGATGACGCCGATAGCTTGCCTTGATCCGGAATGGTAGCGCCCCCAGCGCCGTCAGTCGAAGCGAAGGATGCAACACAGTAGAGCTCATTATGCTGGGACGAAAATTGAATGGTAGCAAAGCGTTAGCAGGCGGAAGGTACCTGTATAGCTCAGAAGCACGTCCAAATGGCTGCAAGCTTCAGGCGGCCAAGTGACGTGGCCAACGTAGATGGTGGTAAGCGGTAAAAGTGGTAATCCGATCAATTCATCAACAGCCTTCCTCCCTCATCTCAATCCACTCTTGATCCACTCCTTCTTTAGTACGACCTTTACCGAATCAAATATTTCCTCGTCATTTCGAGCGCTGTCATGCTCAACCCTTACGTTTTGCGTTTTTCAACAGACGCCTACTTTTTCCTGAATCCTTTACTTTGGTCTGCGGTCTCACGAAAACCTGCAGACGATGTAGATATGCTTGCTTGCGCGTTGCTCGTTCTCGTCCTCAGTCGAGAGCAAACTCTTGTCTGTCTGTACCAATGCATCCACTCTGAGAAGTAAAAACAATCGTGAAATCAAGAAAAAGATGCGCATTGAAACAAACAAGTATACCAACAACAATCGCCCTATCCTGCCGCCCCGTTCCCACTACTCGGGCCTTTCCCGCGCCTCGCCGCAAAGCCCTTGGCAGGCAGGTCACTCCCCTCCCCATTGCCAATACTCTCCGCCGGGCCCTTCGGGTTTCGCGACACCTGCACCTGCGGCTGCCCGTTCCCAGTGCCCTTCTTCGCACTCCCCTCCTTCCCTTTTGGCTTGCCCTTCGTCCCCTCCGGCTCTCCAAATATGCGCTCTCTGGCCTCCGCATACCGCCGCTCCCTCTCCTCCAGCGTCTCTGCCTTTGCAGCGGAGGGGCCTGGCGACGGGGATGGCGCTGGTGATGTGGCTGGAGAGCGCTTGAGGATACGAAGTTGTGGCTGGAAGGCGGCCGGCGCAAGCGTGCTCGTGTTTCCTCGCGATGAAGACACGACCGCGGGCATCGGCGTTGGCACCGTACTAACACAAATCGCTGTTATTAACGGACCGGAAGAAACACAAAACAAGCCACACACCTTGGCTCCCCGTCCGCATCTGCCTCCCACAACACACGATTTCCCGTTGTCCTTCTCGCGCTAGTGCCTTTCTCCCGTGATTCATCCATGACCACGGCCTCCTCCGGGTCATCATCTTCTTCCCAGTCATCTACGACACGCACGCCTCCCGCAGGTGTCGTTGTCGTTTTAGGCCGGCCCTGACCAGCGCTGCTAGTACTTCCAACCAGCCGCTGTGTCGAGCTTGACGCCTACATAAGACTTGTAAGGACGCATCCAGAGCATATATCAAGAGGGACGCACAGCAGGCAAGCCCGCATCCCATCCCGCCCCTCCAGCGCCAGCCCCAGACCCAGAACTCGGCAACCGCTTCATCGTCATCGGTGTCGGGTGCATATCACCAGAGAGCAGCCTTGAGGTATCGCAGGGGCCAGGAAGCAGGAAGGCAAGCGGCAGCACGGGCAGCACGAGGCAGAAAACGCGCGGCGGCTTAGCGACGAGAATGCGGGATGGTGGTCAGCGCCAAGCCGCGATCCGCGCAAAAAGCCGTGCCTGATCCCCGCATCCCCGATTTGGCGCTGATCGTGGCCGCATTTGGTGGGCCTGGCGAAATTAGCTTCGACTGGTCGAGGCCGGTGTGCTTCTTTGCAGCTGACATACGTGCATAATCCTCAACGACTGAAAGCATCACGCAGCACACCAGCCGAGCACACGAAGGCCCACTAGCAACCATCGTCACTACGTGCAAGTTCTGCAAGCCAAATTGCTGCTCATCTCGATGTCAATATTGCCCTTATCCGAATGCGCGGTCATGAAACGGAATGCTCATAGAACACCAAGTCCAAAACTTCTCAGTACTTCGTACTTTCAAACGACCATATTCTTCCAATGTAAACCTCAATTCCAACGACGCAAGAGCCTTAGCGGCGCACAAAAGCACCATGCCTTCGATATCATCCAAGATATAACAACCAGGCCAACATCTTCTCTCGCTGCTCAACCCTTCTGCCATTGGACATGCACCTTCGAAGCAGAGCGCCGTCTCCAATGACAAACGACATCTCAAACCCCAGGACCCAGAACCCACAAAAACAGACAGCATAGACGGGTATTGCATTCACATTTTTCACCATAAGTATGTAGCAGCAACTAAAAAAGAAAAATGAAAGACAAGAGAGACAGTAAAACGATCGGTGGTCGACTGGCCGCACCAGTCAGTATTCGCGTACGTATATATATAAAGGGTCGCGTAAGAAGGGGAAAGAAAGAAGAAGAAATGCACCGGAGCGAGTAGGGTATGGGTTCGTGCGGGGAATGGGGGAGGCGATGGGGGATCTAGGGCATACGTATACGGAGAGTAGAAGAGAAAAGAAAGGAAAACAAATTACTTTTGTGCATGTAGAGCCGTGGCTTTTACTCCTCCTCTTCTTCCTCCAGCACATTATGAAGCGGCGCGCCATGGACATATCGCGCGGGACTCGCGCGGCCTTCCTCCAACGGAAGCTGCAACTCCGATGGATCCAACAACGGCGGACTGGGTTTCGGTGCTGGAGCTGGTGATGGCGCGGGCGGAGGGACAGCCGCAGGCGAAGCCTTCTCCTTAGACGGTGTCGGCCTCGGGCCAATCGGAGATGCCGGCGGCTGCTGGCCAGCGGCGACACCCGTACCCGCAGCACGAACAGGTAATCTCGATGGTGCGGGTAATGGCGGCGGCTTCGGGCTGTTCTTCTGCCCCATCTCCTTCTCGCGGAACATATCGATAAGTGCGCCCGTTTTGCTTGGCTGACTCGGTTTCGGCGCTGCGATACTAGCATTACTTGTAGCGGGGGCGGGAGCGGACACAATTGGCGCAGGAGGAGGTGGAGGTGGGGCAGGGGTAGGATTCGGCAGCGGGCGAATACTGTCCAGATTTCGTGGCGGTGGAACCAATGGCTCGGGCTCGTCATCGCTGTCGGGCCCACTCAGCAGACTCCTCGGATCATCGGGGTCCACATCCGACACCGAATTAACTGACACTGGCCGGCGCTCCGGATGCGCGTCAAAGTAGCCCGCCCGTCTAGCCTGTCGTGCTTGCGCTAGAACGGGATGGACTTCAGCTCCCGGAGTAAGACTGTCTTCTTCGTCATCGGTAGGCGCCCCATAACCCTCGCCCTCACTAATCCCGTCGTAGGCGTTGTCGTCGTCATAATGCGACTCCACTGACTGGCCTTGCTCGCTTTTGCGTGGTACCCGCTCAACCTCCACCACATCCGAGTCGCGGTAGGGCTGCGGCACGGGCTCCATATCCACATCCACACTCGTCCGATTCATCATCGTCTCCGCCGCAAGCCTCTGCGCCACCTCCATGCTTGCCAAATCCAGGTCCGGACCGCCACGGCCCGCCCGCCTCCGCGCGCCGCTGCCGGTCGTCCGCATAACCGCGTCCTGCCCACCCATCCTTCTCGCACCCATACTGCCAACGAGTATGTCCACCCACGCATCACTCGCGCTCTCCCTTCTCCGCTGCTTCGCCTCCCTCTTCACCTCATCCGCCTCCTCCTCACTATCATCCGACTCCGGCCCCGCCGCAAACCGTGTCGCAAACTCGACGGGCCGGCTCTCCGCCGGCGCCATCCCCGGCCGGACCACCGTCCGGGGGACCCCGCTCGCGCCGCCAGGACTAGGGTTGGGGAGCATCCCGCCTGGCAGGCGAAAACGCCCACTCTGTCGTTTACTCGGCGTCCCCGGCCCGTGCCCGCTCTCGCTCGAGTCCTCGCTGCGCGTCCTCGAAATCCCCACGGCCGGCGTCTCCGGCGGCCGCGGCCCGGGCCCGAGCGAGATCATCTTGGTATTGCCCTGCGCGCGGAGCATCGACTCGAAGTCGAGGTCGCGGCTGCTGCCCATTGCGGCGGGTGTTGCTCCAAGCACATACGGTCGCCCGTTCAGTGTTGGGGCCTGCTTCCAAGCCTTGCCCCCGCCTGGAACAGTCGACGGGGTAAAGAACGATGGCAATCGCCTTCTTGTGCCCGGGGGAGCAACACCAGCCAAAGCGAGTCGGTATTCGCGCGGGACAAACTCCTCGTAAAGCACCAGTGTCGCGCCGGGGTCCTGTTGGCCTCCAGATCTTGACTTGTATTCGACCTTCAAACTTGTCAGTATCTAACTTTATGTCAAGAAAAATGGAGCCCACCAAAGCCCACGAACACTCCCTAGCCAACTCAGCACTAGGCCCGCCCACGCCCGCCGCGCGTTCCATCCACCCGCCGCCATAAAGCAAATCGCAAAACACGTCCAGAAACGCCTCCTCGAGCACCTCCTCCGCGCCAAGAACCGGGGCCGTGTCCCAGCCAAACGCAGGCAGCGCCTTGTGTGCTTTCCGCAACTTCCTCGTAAGTTCTGCATTGAGCGGCGTATTCGCCGTTGTCGTCCCGAGCCCGAGCGACAAGGGCGGTGCGAATTGTAACGTTGCGGACAGAGGCGCGTCTGAGCGGGAAAAGCCTGCAGCGGAAAAGTCGGCCCAGGAAAGGGTTTCCCGCTTCGCAGCGCGTTCCTGGCAGAGATATTAGTATTGTTGTTGGGTGAAGGCAGGTAGAAGGAGAGAAAAGAAAGCATGTATCGAAAAGTGTCCGTGAAGTAGTGTCTGTAGATTGTCCATTCGATAAAGAGTCGGAAAAGCGAAGTGAAGATTGAAAAGAGTAAAATGGGGGCAAAACAGAGAGGACCATGAAGTATGTATCGAAAGAAAGTCCGTTTAGCAGTCAAGTAACAGAAGAAAAGTGTTGGTGCAAACAAGAGAACGAGAACGAGAAACGATAGCGAAGAAAAAGGTCCGTGGTATCGAAATATTGCCCGTTTCGAAGTAAAGGTAAACAGAAGAGAAGGGTAGCAAAAACGAGGAAGGGAGCAACGAAACAATCTGTAATGAGGGAAAAGTCCATGCCAAACGGATACGTATAACGGTTATTATCTCGAAAGAGGAAGGATGGGGCAAGTAACCAAGAGTTAAGTAAGAAAAGATAAGGAGAAGGGAAGAAAAGAGCGAAAAGCCAAGAAAAACCCACTCACCGCCCTCGCATTCTCCGTCAAATCAAACCTCAATCTCCCCTCAATCCCGCCCTTGCCCACTTCTCCCTTGTCCCCAACACCCAAACCGACCTCAAACCCACCAACCCCATCACCCGTCCCATGCCCGAATCCCAAGCTCTCAAACGCGCCCCACTGCAGGTCCGTCAGGCTGCGGAACGCGCCAGGCGCAGACTCCGTCGACGCGAGCGAAGTCGATGACGGCGAAGTCAGGGAAGAGTAGGGTGTCGGCGGAGATAGACCTGGGAGCGACGATGACGTAGATGACGAGAGCGATGTGGTGGACGGATGTACCCCAACGCCAAAGTCCATGCGCTTGCGGTAACTGTCCGTATATCGCGGGGCACCAGCGCCGCCCGCAACGATGGTGCGCCACGCGCGTGATGCTGCCCAAGCATTTGGTGTGCCGCCTTGGAAACGAAAGACGAGGTACATCAGCCACAGATAAGTCGAAAAAAAACCGAGAAAAAAACTCACCAGTGCTTTCAGCCCACGAACTCCCGCTCTTGACCAGGTCACCCGAATAGCTGCGGACATTCCTGCGAACGTGGACAACCCGCACCGTCTTCGCGCCCCTTCTTGCCCCAATCCTCGTTTGTGCCCCATTATTCCCCCCGCTCCCAGTGTCAATGCTCGCGGGGTACATTCCAACCCACTCCCTCAATCTTGTTGGCCCACCAAGCGCGCCACCACCACTCGACACAACTTCCCGAATACAAGCGAGTATAAGGTGTTCTGCAGCTCTGGCGCCACGGAGATACTCCTCGTAAATCGATGTGAAGACGCTGAAGTCGTCGATGGTGGGGAACAGCAGCGCTTCGGGATCATCCTTCTCCTTGTCGCCGCCCTTGTCTTTTTTGTCCTTCTTGCCCGTCGGGGAGGTCGGTGTCGGGTAAGATGGCGCGACCGGGGTGGTTCCCAGCGGGGGCGGTGATAATCCAAAAAGAAGCGGGGAAAGAATAGAGGCCAAGGAAGGCGGAGTATGGCCCGACGCAGAAGAATGAGCGACGAGTTTGGTGCAGACGTCGAAAAGGGGTCGGAGGATGGGAGCTAGTTGTGCGGGAAGGGAATCGATGAACGTAGTAAAAGCCGTTGGCGGGTATGCGTTTGCTAGAGTCCTCGTCAATACCAGGCTAGAAGGACAAGGAAAAGAACCGCACCCGCTTCTTCGCCCTTCCACCGTTCGTACCACGCCCAACTAAGCAGACCTCTTAGCTCTCTCCCGCCCTCGACCCTAACCACCCTGCTCAATCCCCAGCGAAGACACAGCGCCAGCTCATGTGCGCCTGAGAACCGTGTCTCCTCTTCAAAGGCCTCTGGACTCCTCGTCAGGAACGTCTGCACCAGCCTCACAACGCCTGCTTTTCTTGCATCCAAGGCGAGAGAGGAGAAAACAAAAGGTGTCGCGACGCCTGTCCTCTCCAACGCGGCACATATCGCCGACGTAAGCCTTGCCGCATCCGTCAAGCCGAGAACGGTGTCCCTTGCAACCGACAGCAGGCCATATTGCTGCCTGGGCGGTGGTGGGGGTGGCTGAGGAGGCTGGCCTGGGGCCGGGGAGGGTGCTAGTGAGGAGCTCCCTGCGAAGGGAGTGTGGAAATCGCGCGGGAAGGATGAGGGGAGGAAACCGACGGCGCCATAACCAGCCTCGCCCGCGAGCCCAAACTCGTCAACGCCAAGAGAGAGTGCAGGGCGCCTAACACCGGATGCGGGTAGCGCCTGTGGGGGGAGGATAAGCGGCGGCTGGGGGGGCGGCTTTGTCTTTGCCTTGGCGGCGGTGGAGGGGGAAGGTGTCGATGCCGTGCGGGCGCGGGAAAAGAGCGAGGGCATGCTGGGAAGTGGCTACGTGGCCTCGCAGGCTTGTCTGTAGACCGGCAGCCACAGTGAGCAAAGGGGAGGTGGGCAGGGCAGGGCAGGGCAACTCACCAGTATCGCCAACGACGCCGTATACGTCTCTTTGCGCTCGGTCAAACACCCTCGTCACTAGTGGTCGTGCGCGCTGCTGTCGTGGTCCCGTCCGGCGAGCGGACAGCTTGCTGCGTGGCGGCGGTGGGCGTGGGTGGGTGGTCAGAAGAGGCTGAGGTAAGCCGTGATTGATCGCTGATCTTTCAGACGGTGACGGCGACCACGACGATGGCGACCGCCAGATGGCAGTGTGCCCTCTTCACACCACCCGACGGCTTGCACGCTTGTCGACCTCTCGGCTTCCCTTCATGCTTTCCTCGCTGCCCTCCGCGCTTTTCGCCCTCAGCCCTGCAAGCAATCTATGCCCGACCATCGCCACTAACTCAGGGCCGGCCCCTCCTGAAACCCTGCGTTGGCGCTGTCGCCTGTTGCCACCGCCCGCGTCTCGGCCCATGGACATCATTTTCACCGCCGCACCGAAATGCCTCCGCCAGACGAATTCCTCCTCCTTCACTGTTTTAAGCAACCGAAATGGCCCCTCGCGGTACCTGGTCCTGCACCGCACCGGCACCCTATCACCCGCTCAGCCTCTCGCACTCCCAGTCTGCTGGGCAGAACCCACGGACACGGACCAGCAGATCCCGAGCGATCTTTGGCAGTGCGAATGATGCACGGACAACTGCCACGCGTGTAACTTATCATACTGCCCTCATCCATCCCGGGCCAGTCCGCCAATCTCCATGCCCGCCCCGCCCCGCTCTGCGCCCGCGCCTCATCGGTACAACCTAGTCGACAACACCAGCGCGTCTTGTAATTCCGCTCTCGTCATACCCGGTTGGCGCCTCGCTGAAACCAGTTTCGCCAACGCCCCTCAAGACGAGCGCTCGCGCAATTTCAGCTGTAACTCGTTTCGCCTCCCGGTATCAGGCCAGATCGAGCTCGCTGGACGAACCGCTCTATGCATTGACTTCTAATTCTCCTCCTACGCCTTCCGCACCAATCATGGCGTCGCTCTCATCCTACATCGTACGACCTCCCGATCGACCCGGGTCACGGCAGATATTGTCTTGGATGAACAATTTCCCTTTTTTTCGCGCCAGCATCCCAGAGACCGACACTTATATGCATTCTTCCGGGGTCGCTGTCGTGCTACATGTCCGGTCCCAAACCGTCAGTCTTCCTTGTCACGTCCACTCATGCTGGCCCAACCCTCTCAAATCCACCTTCAACTTAAATGCGCTGTCTACTCATGCGGTCGCCCACTTCCTTTAAAAAGAACCCTCAATCTAGTCCCGGGGCCCGACCAACACATAGTGCATCTTTCTTCGCCCCGAGCAACAGCGACAGCCGCGTCGCATGTTGCGCAAGCAGCGAGAGGTGTTCCCGATCGACCCGGGGTGCTCCAAATAAAAAGAAGCCTAGAAACATTGTTTTTACTACTTGTCGGCGCGAGGGCTTCGGGTGCTGCTTACGAACTCACAACATGCGATGAAATTAATTCCTTCCACAGGACCATAAACGATCACCAGGTCCAGTGAAAGTACCAGGGCTAATAGGTCACCCACCCGCGTTACGTGGGCGGGCTTCTTCTAGGGATCTACGTGCTCTTGACTCGTATCTCACACGACGGTCATATCCATCGCGCTCTGCTAGAACATCAACCCCTGAAATTCGACTCTAACAACTTCGATTATTGTTGCCAATTTGTTAGGGTCCGAACTGGACCATTCATACCATGCCGGCAAGTCCTTCACCTGGAACCATCTCTCGTCCCTACCATCGAGCCGAATCGGAAGAGCGTCCTTGTTACATCGGCCGCACCAGCACCAATCGGTGCATACATATGACTTCAAGCTCCCAAACGACTACTTACTCCTTATGACCACCATCTACGCTGTCCACAACGGCGATGGCGCCGCGACACTGTCCCTTCTCGTGTGAGTCTTAGTGTTCCGCGCTGTCCCGATCGACCCGGGGTCGCTGTTGTAGCTGGCGTCGCTTACGAACTTTTTTTGCATCGAGCGGTCGCGATCGACCAGCAATCTGTGGCCCAACACACTTCCTTCCAGACATTTTCCATCGCTCTACCGCTCTCAATATCCCCTCGGGACAAGCAGCAACACCAGCCGCTGCTTCCTGCCGTCGCTCATGACCTAAGGGGCTGTCAATCGTCTTGATTCGGCTTTCCTTCAACCTACACGAGTAGCGCGACAAACCTCAAGACTTTTCCAGCAGATTCACTGTCCGTTCTTTGTCGTCTTCGACGACAGCCACGACTGCTGTTCCCCCGATCGCGACGCGTAAATTCATCTCCAGAACTTGCTAGCATTCCCAAGGCCGAGAGCATCGATGCCTCCCCGAGCCCGGGCCCGCACCATTCCGAGTCGTTGCATGTATTTCCTATGACTTCGACAGTAACACAAGCCCTTAATCGACTAGTTCTTACGATCAGAATTCACGCTTTCAGCAACAGCGATAGCGCCGTGCGCCAACACAACACCATTCCTTGCTTCCTCGCGTGTGTCCCGATCGACCCGGGGTCGCTGTTCTCACGAATCTGCAATATGATCCCACAGTGTTGCAAAACTTTCCCCCCTTGTCAGTCGTCGCTACGACGATGTCTAGTTCTGCTCGGTGGTCTCTCACCCGGCCCGACACCTACCGTGACTTTCTTTCGAACATCCTCCACAAACACTTCTCAGCCCAAACGTACCACGCCGGCCGCTGGGGCGCTTGCCTTCAAACTACCCTGCGGTGCACATATTTCTCGTCAGCACTCCGACAATCCTGATTTTCATCATAGTTTATGTTCTTTGTCCGTCTGACTCCGTCATATCCTTCAGCTTCACGGACCGAGTCACTGGTTGTTCGCTGTCTTCGACACCGGCCTATATGAATTGTAGCAGTTGTTTGTCCCAATGTTCGACCCCGGGTCGCTGCTATTGTCAAGTCTCCCGATGATGATCTTTTTCTCTTCGCTTCCTATTGCATTGCAATTGCTTCTTATATATACCGCTAGCCACAATTTCAAAGTGATTTTTGCGATTGCAGGTTAGTAGTACTTAGTACTAGTAGGCTCCATCTGTAGCAAGACGCAAAATTCCTCCTTGACTCCGGCGGAGCAAAGACGGAGTCAGCACAAGGGGTACAGGTGAGAGAAAACCTGAACAACATTTGGAATCACTGTTGAAGACGAGGATCAAATGGAAGTCCGTCGTATATCGAGAGCTGTACGGAGAACTGTACAGTCTCGAGGGCTCGAGATGGCAGGTCACAGAGTGGAAAAGTATAAGGCCAATATAACTTGAAACTTACAACTTGAAGCTCAGACAGACTTTGATAGCGAAGTAGCGAGCGATACTAGTAATTTGCAGTCTGCGCGGTTGTAAGAGTTGCGACTTGGAGGCACTGGCCGCGGATTGAACGAAAGCGCAAGGTAAGTCCGTCTTCAAGCAACTTCAAGTTACCTTGTGATTTTGTGGGTGCCTAAGACACAAACGTGAAGAGCCTCGACTCTATAAGTGAGCGAGATTGCCAGTGCAGTAGTAAGTGTAAAGATTCGTCGCTGTTAGTCGTTTTGCCCCAGTTAACAGTGGATATGCAGCAGATTTGACGAGCAGTTTCCGAGACCTTGCCGGTGTTAGACGTTGTCCGTCGTCACGAACCGACAAGCGAGGGCAAGTCTTCGGACAAGATATCCTGGCTCTAGACGAGGTTGTCAATGAGCTCAGGAGGTGCAGCAGGTCGGGCGTCATCATCGTTCAGGAAGAGTTGCAAGTGTGACTTCCTTCTTGTCCCAAACGCCCATCTCGATGGCCCCGCATGTCCATATCGGCGCTATTTACCAACATACGCCTTCTCTACACGTTTACGCCACCGCAAAACTATAGAGACCATGGGGACACCGGAGTGAAGGAGTGCGTTGTGTTGCTTGTCAATCCTGCTCTCAATGTGTGTCAGCGCTCGGCACCACATGCTCAAATTTGCCGGCGAAACAATACCCGCCTTTGCTGCGCGTTCCGCTGCAGAAAGCATCGCAGAATATGCTCATTCACTGAGCGCTAAGCGGGCGACACCAAGATGGCTGGGCTAACTAGGGACGGCATTCGGGGAAAGAGTAATAGCGCGCATAAGGTGTGTGTTGCGTCCACAACTCTCTCGCAGACGCCTGACCACGCTTTTCCAGCTCCATAACCAGTCCTTCCTTTGCTTCTCGACCGGTCCCTTCCAAGATCGTGATTCCTCGTAAGGTGTCTCCCACCCGGTCCCTCAGGACCCTCCCAGGCCCCGGGAAGCTCCACCAAAGGGTGGTCCGAAAATTTGGGTATTTGAGGCCCCAAAATGACGATTTCCTTGTCCAAAATATGGGTATTTGAGACCCAAAGTCCGCCAGCCTTGTCCGAAATTTGGGTATTTGTGGGCTTGGAAGGCAACAGTTGCCGCCAAGTTGCCGTCAATTATTGGATTGTGTGTCACTGTCAAGTCACCATTGGCCTTGCTGTGTTTTTACTGCGAAACTGCCATTGATGACGTTGTTTATGCTCGCTCAAAACGGTCAAACTTGCCTTTTTTGGAACAGTCACGTCCATCAAAATATGTGACATGTCACGACCCTTGTCCAAAACTGGGTATTTTAGGCCGAAGAAAATGGGTATTTGAGGCCCAAATCTAGAATTTTTTCGGACCACCCTTTGGTGAAGCTTCCCGGGGCCTACCCTCCCCCGTAGAACCACATAAGTGCGTTCAGGTCTTTCATTTTCCCTGCCTACCGCTAAAGAGTCATGCAATAGTATTGCGACCGTATTCATACCCGAAGTCCTGCCCATCCAATCCCATATCGCCTCACCTGTTTCCCAATTCGTCCATGTCCTGCTTGTCGCAGTCTTATTGCCACTCATCATTCACCGTATCCAAGATAGAGTTTC